CTTCAATTCATCTACTCATCCTTACTACTTCTTGTCTGGAAAAGTTATGATCATGAGAAAGAAAATGTGTTCTGGAAATAAACCAGGCATACTAATCTCTCCAAGCTTTAAAGTCAGATATAAATCCTACTATGCTCACAAATGAAAATAAATTGGCTAAAGGGTGACTGTGTCTTCTAAGACTACTATAAGAAGGTAAAAGTGAGTTAAAAAATAGATCTGTGTAATCCATAGTTGTGTAACACACAGAACTAGGATTTTAGCTTCATTTTCTAATGGAAACCAAAATCCTGGTTGTCCATGTTGTTTTTCTCATTTCAATTTGGAAAACTTATTTATATAATTCCGGCAAAATTTTCATCATTGATCTTTAAAGATAAATAACTTTAAAATCCATTATAAACATCTACATCAATCTTCACACTCACCTTGAAAGCCATATGCTCAAGAAAGTGAGCAGTTCCATTGTTCTTCTCATTTTCATACCTGCTTCCAGCATCAATCCAAAGTCCAACCTCAGTGAAGAAAAAAAAAAAGTCATTTTCCCAGCTAACAGCTTTGCCATGGCTTTTTCCTTAAACAGAGCAGGTTTTCAAGAAAAAGAAAATTTTGATCTCCATAAAAAATTTAATTACAAATTGACAAAAGCCTTAAGATTTCTATGCCCTGGCCCAAGTTCTAGGAACAGTTGTTAATATTGAAATGCAAATGAAGTTTAGTTCCACAAGGAAATAAACACACAGGAACAGATACAAAACCCCTTCCTTCTGTAAGTTACTTACTGTGCACGTCGAGAGTCCAGAGTCTTCAGAAGCTAGTTGCAAGCCATTTTCCAAAGGACTCACCCTAGTTTCAGGGACATTTAAGATTACTTCTGTTGCTGCTTTGGAAACTGTGCACCTCCCTGTTCCAACATGCACACCCTGGAAAGGAAAATCATCAGTCACCTCAGATTGTTTAGTTATATCCAAGGATGCTTTTCTGAAAAATGTATTGCTGAACTCAAGCATCAAGTCCATGGATCCTTCTTAAAGCATGCATTTATAAGGGAGAGAATTCAGGACTGCTATTCACCCCTGCCTCACACAAGGAAAGCAGGAACCTGAAGATAACCACAAGTGAGGAGACGCAGCTGCTGCCTCCAGTCTGACACAGGGGCTGATACTCCCATCAGCCAGCCACCCTTGTTCTCCACTGCAGCCAGCAAGAGCCTGTGGGACCTTTACATTCTGAAATTCTCCTGGTACCTGCTTTCTAAAGTGAACTGAGATACAGCCCAAGGGCCCGTGCCAGGACTGCAAATCCATCAGCCATGGATGAGAACAGCACAATCAGGGGGCAGTTAAAGCACATTAAATGAGAGCAGGGTAGAATGAAGGGAAGCTTACTGCAGTTTTTCAATAACAAGAAATGTAAATATGTATCTCAAATTCAAGCAAACAGCTATCTTGAAAACTGTGATTTCAAATAAGCCAAGATTTTTCGCCCTATATGACTGCCCTAAACAAGAAAGTACAAAATCCAGCTCTCAACCCCTCTCCTCCTAGAAGGATGTTAGATCTCTTAAAACTCACTTATTTTGGAATCACAGCACAATTCCAGTTTGAAGAGACCTCTGGAGGTCTGTAGCCCAACTTTCTGCTCCAAGCAGGACCAACTTGGTCAGAGCACTTTGCTCAGGGCTTTTTGCACTTGGGCACTGGCAATCTCCAATGGTGAGAAACTGCACAGCTCTGTGACAGCCTGCTCCACTGCCTGACTGCCACATAAACAGGTTTTCCTCTCTTGTTTCAACTTACACCCATTGTCTCTCATGCCACCACTGTGACAGGCCTGGTTTTAAGTTCCTTACAACCTTCTCCCAGGTACTGGCACAGATACTTCTCACAGCTCCAGCTAAAGCCATGGCATCTCCAGCCTGAACAACGTCCGGACCCTCAGCCTCTCCTCACAGGGCGCATGTTCCAGCCCAGTTCATCCCTGCTGAGCATCCACGGTTCCCTGACATCCCCCTCACACTGCGGAGCCCCGGGCCTGCCGCACACAAACCCGAGCAGCGCACACCGATCGCTCACTACACCTCCCGCCG